GATAAGGGAGTACTTTGACTTGGATTGATATTGACGTTTTCTTGAGAGAGGGTATGGTTAAGTTCAATGGAGTCAATTCACAGGGTATGTCTAGGTACTCTTAAGTTTCAATTGCAACACTTGAGTATCCTTAATTTTCGATTGCCACATTTGAATACCATGAACTTTTAAAAACAGACACTTGGGTCCATCCGTTAAATATTATATAATGTCAATAATACTATTTTCGTGTATTTTTTATATCATTCTATGGAGTAAAATCATTATTAGAGAATGTTATCATCAAAAAATTTGAATATGTTATTTGTTGTCCATGTGAGAACGTCATTATAGGGAGATGTTTGATTACCTAAAAATGATCTAAAAAATACATGAGAAGGGTATTTTTATTATTATTATATAATGTTTAATTGACAGAACACTAATGGATGGACCTAAGTGTTTATTTTTAAGATTTCAGGGTACTCAAGTGTTACAATTGAAAGTTCAGGATACCTATTTGTCACCACCCTGTGTTACCTTAGCCAAATTCTTAATACTCTAGGGCTGAAATTGGATTGGATTTGGATTTGGATTTAATCCACATTGGCCTTACTGTTCTTAAAATGACAAAATAATTAAAAAAAAAATTAAGAAACCCTAGGAAATAAAGCTTATTTGGAAATTTGGCATTTCTTGAGGATGTTTCTAAAAACGTGAGTTTGCATATCATGGTATTTCTGCTAACGTGAGTATGGGACAGTATGTATGTTCCAAAGAAAGGAAATTTTGATTTTTTTTTTTTGGTCAAGGTTTTATTTGGTTGCAATGCAAACCTAAACTAGATACAAATTTTGCATTGAACAATTGAGGCTCCATTTATTTGCAATGCAAATGTAAACCAGATATGAATTTTGCATACATTTGTTTGTAATTATAACTTGTACTCTTATCTGATTCAAATTTTGCACTTTTTTCTGATTTTGCATCTAAAAAACTGATGTAAAATTTGCACCACCTAATTCTACCTTAGTTCTCCCCCATAGGGACCACATCAATTTGCTTCCTACCTTATTCTTCCCAAACAAATAGCATTCTGCCAGCCTCCATTCTCTGTCATATGTGGGGACCATATCATCTTACTTCATATTTTACTTCTTAAAACAAACAAAATAAAGCCAATTCTGAAACCAGGATTTACATGGGCTTGGATTTGCTACCCATGAATTGTTCCCATATCTCTACTCATGTGATATTACAGCTACGCATTGGGGATATCTCCATTATCATTCATGGAAAAATGTTCCTAATACATGGTGGTGGTGCTTTGTGGCTAGGTACGTGGGAACAACTTGTCGGTAGCAGATCCCAAGTGGATTCACACTCAGTCTATTTACACTCCTATGTCTTTACAGCAGTGCAAATAAACGGAGACTAAGAATTTCTCTCCTATCTTATACAAATTTTGTACTTTTTTTTGTCTCATTTACACTGACTGGCAATGCAAATTTTACATCCCTAAACATTTGCACCATCTTCCTCTCACCTAATTTCTCTCATATAAAATGGGGACCACATCATCTTTCTTCCTATACCTCGCTCCCAAACAAATAACCCTCCCACCTCCATTCTCTCTCCTATAAAGCAGGAACTACATTTTACTTCTTACAAGAAACATCTAAAGCAATGGTAAACAAGAATTTACAGTCAGCCTATTTGCACTCTTATGCATTTACACCAGTGCAAGTAAAATTCACAGTGCAAACAAACTGAGCCTAGGGTATTATAGTCTTTCCGTTTCTTTTGTGCATGCGTGTATGAGTGTTTATCCTCTCGCTGTGGGTAGTTGTGGTGTAAAACATATATTAGCACTATGCTCCCAAGAACTAAGGCTTTGTTTGGTTGCAATACAAATCTGAGCTTGATGCAGAACTTGTACTCAGTTCAAATTTTCAAACATTTGTTTATAACTATCATTTTCATTCTTTCCTAATGCAAAATTTGCACCATTTGTCTCATTTTGCACTATGCACTCATTGATGGTACAAATATTGCATCTCAAAAACTGATGTGAGCTGCTACCAACTTCTTACCTTAGTTTCCTTCCATATAAAATGGGGATCACAACATCTTCCTATTTTACTTATACCATATTGCTTCTGAAAAACTGACATGAATTTTTCACCAACTGCTTCCTACCTTAATTTCCTCTCATATAAAGTGGGGACCACTTCATTTTACTTCTTACTTTACACCTGGAAAACAAACAAGCTTCTTCATGCTTCTTTCTCTTCACGTAACATAGGGACCACCTCATTAGTTCATTATACTTGAAAACAAATTAAAACAAAGTTAAACCTGAATAAAAAGTAAAACAGAATTCACACTCAACCCATTTGCACTACCACGAATTTTCACTGCCCAAATTTCATTTGTACTGCAAGAATCCTAAAGTTAAAATTCTTAACCATGTAAATGGGACATACCTTCCATTTTGCATTCACTGAGTTCATTGTCTGAAACACAAACATTCATCCTTTGAGTGACCAAAAAACTAATAACATAAAAAAAAAAAACAAATGAAGCATAGAGTAGTACTGAGATATAAACATTTAGAACTTTAGATGATGAAAAAAAAAAACCTGAGCATTTGCAAGATTTTCCCCCCTACCTACAAGAACCAAATCAAGTGTATAATTAAAATGAAAAAGGCTTCAAACTTGGTTGAAAATAGCCTCTATCATTATAATCTGAATATTGATTATCCCATGCTAATTGTTGTAAGTTAGTTAGCTCAATCCTGAACCGTTCTCAAGCATACAAAAGAGAGTGGAATATAAACGTTGACAAGGTGGAGTGGCAGAAGAGGATAAACGTAACCAACCCCCTATATCTGGGATAAAGCCTAAGGACATAAGGCTTTGTTGATGAGCTGTGAATTCCACTAAGGGCAGTAGCGTACTATTAACTTGGGTTGCATCTGATTAGATAGACCACCACCATGGCACCACAGAACTCTAGTTTACAGGCCCATCTTGATGTTAAACCACTATGCACATTCATATCACTTATCCCTTGAGGTTTCTGAAATATCACTTTCTGTATGACTTGTTACTTTTGATTTTGATTTTCACTCTCTCTCTCTCTCTCTCTCTCACAGGGAGTAGGGACTTATTTGAAAGAAAATCTTTGAGATTCTTATTCCCTTTATCTTAGGATAGATTGTCAGGTCAGAAAGCTCTCTGAAATATCACTAGTCATACTCTTTGTTGATGTTTGATATATTTAAATTCAAAATTAAGTTTAGAGAATACAAAAGAAACATATAAAGTTAAACTCCTTGTATCTAGGCTTAACATAACGTAAGCAGTTAAACAGGGATTAGTATGTAGGCTTAATTCTTGGGCCCAAAGAGTAAAACGATGGAGAATTTCTTTGCAAGTTTGTAATAATAATAATTAACTCTAGGGAGGCCCAAGTCCGACTTGAAACCATGCTTTTTAGCCTCTCCACAGCCCAGATGCAACATAGTGAAACTGACTTTTGACCCTGTCTCAAACCCTAGGTCATGATGAAACTAGGCTGGATGGAGCTAACTAAGTGCTGTGCGGTATGGGTACAATCCAACACTGCACAAATGACAGGATTTTAGTCTTTAGATCTGAGATTTCTGGATTTTTCTTTCCTTTTTTTTTATAACAAAGTTTACCAGAATCAGAGTTCCATTGATTACTCGCTAGATCAGACCAGAAGAAAAATCAGTTACGCCCATGGTGAATCACAGCCCTCTCGATATATTTCTGTGGCCCCACCTTGAATTGGATGAAGTGCCATTAAAATGGGGCCACCGGCCATAGCAATACATCAAAGAGCGTGGAAGTGGAGCCACAGCGGAGTGGACTTCTCCTCCTTAGACGGACTATATGCCTAATAAGTATATATCCAGCTGGGAACTTGGGACGTTCGTATATTTGCTGGGGAAAAAACATGTTAAACGCACAGTTCTCGCATCTCGTATCGTCTGAAGACCAATAAAATCACGAGAGCTATGGCCTATGGGAAAGTGAATCAAATACATCATCAGTTAGCAGTTACACAACTTGCTTGCGTTCTAAAGGTCTAAAAATTCAGACCTTGGATTGGCCTGGTGAACTGTAACCTTCACCCCTCCATGTGGGACCAATTTGATACACTTGATGATGATGGCTGTGTTTGTATTGTATGCAATCAACAAGACCAACGTCTACCACCGAGTGGCGAGTGTAGTACATGCCCCACAATCATCCAATCCCTTACTTCGCATGGACAGCTGATGTGGAGCGTTATTACTGGTTACACAGCTCCTACCAAGTTCAGCTAATCCCACCTTACTGCCACATACTGTGCCCCTGTGTAATCGAATGCCGATTATACCCAAAACCTGCCTGCTTATATATATATATATACCCCATAGAATAAATGTTCCAAAAAGAGGTGGAAAGTGAAGCAGCAGCCCACGATCCCCAGTCCCCACCTCTCAATTTCTCATGCATTAAGGTTTAGTGAAATATGAAAGAATCGCCTTCACCTGCTGGTGCCAATTTGGCTGGTTGATAAAATCTCCTGGTGGTTGTGGCGACTTGGGATCAGATCGAATCCTGCCGGCACCTGGGTTTGGGGATTTATGGGTTTAAGAGAGGGATAGGCTACCCCGTTGTGTAGCCAGTCCCAATCAGGCAGGCACACACTATAAGCACATTGAATAATAAATTGGATTTTTTTATTTTTTTTTGCACCTGTCTCTTAAAATACCCCCAGCCTACCCTTATAAAAAGATTAAAATCAACTTTCAATAAAGGTGTAAAATATTTACTGTGTGTTCATTCACTGTGCTTACAATGCTGTGCCTACTAGGTCCAGACTCAGTATAGGCCCTTGGAGCAAAAAAATACAATAAAATAAATTCAACTTCAAATGTCCAAAACCATATGCTCTATTTGTTTGCAAATATGATTTCATTTGCATTAATACAAATGTACGAGTACAAATTAAAAGGCTGCAAGTAAGTTTTACTTTGTTTTACTTCGTTTATGCCATAAATAAACAATAAAAGGTAAAATTTAAGACAAAATAAAGCAGAATCTGCATACAACTCATTTCCACTCCCATACTTAGGAACCAGTGCAAATGAAATTGTGTTGCAAACCAACTAGGCCGCAGGTCAAAAATACACGGGGTAAATAGCCCCTTTGTTGCAAACTGAATATTGCAATTTTCGCGACCCCAAAATGAGGAAAAGAGGAGTGTCAAATCATATGGTTTAAAAGCAAACCTACATAAACATGGTTCTCCAAACAAATTACAGCAAGATCACACAAAGCCAAAGAGCCAAGATGGCATTCTTTATTGGCCACTGTAACTCGAGCTATTGGGTACGAGTCCCGCTGCTTTCTGCACTTCTCACGGGATAAAAGTAAGGATGAGCCTGCAATGGCATCAGATGGTTGCTTATAAAACTTGAAAAAAGAAAAAGAATATACAGGAAACGCCCTGTTAATCAACCTGGACTGCTTTATCGAGGAAAGAGAACCTAGCATAAAGTCCACCAAAGTAGAACCCAAAAGTGCATTTGAATGGATGTGCTTGTTTCTGTGTGTGCGGATTACAAGTTTCCAATTCATCTGATTTTCAGGTTATGTCCATTCAAAAGGGCCCAATTTAACAGTCCAGTCAAATGTATCTGTAAACTATATCCTAACAAGAACATAACAAATTAACAATAACAGGTACTACCATTGCTTCTTTTGCAGTCGGCCTCTCTTGGTGGTCATACCGTAGCAACTTGTCAAGAAAGTCGATTGCCTACAGTAAAAAAGCATCAAGGCAGCATGTTATTGGACTATGATAAGAAGGTTATGCAACATTACTCTTGGTACAAATATTTAAGTATTATATCAGACCTCAGGCACTGCCAAATGTTGATTATCGGCATTGATGAACTTAGTCCATGGCTTCCGACCATGTCTACAAAAACAAATAACAAAAATTCAGTCAACGTTAACACTTTCAATTTCCAAACAAAACCATGAAATAAATCAAAAATGGGGTTCTATAAAAAACCTTCCAACAAGGGCCTCAAGGTGTGGGTCCAGCTCCAGACGGTATTTTCCCAAGTATGGATTTAATTCATCTGTTCCAAGTATCTATCAAATAAAAAATCCAGAAAATTATTCTCCTTTTCCTTTTTTCTGGAGCATTGGAAATTAGGGTTGCACATTCATACATAAGAAAAACAATAAACCAATTGCCAAAGTAGTTAAGATATCGTGAGGAAGAAGGTGAAATCAACAAATCTGAAACCAGAACTGCCGAAGCCCAATCGTCACCGGAAGTGAGGAAGAAGGCGATGCCAGAAACTGTACGGCTCAGAGAGAAGGCCAAAAGCCTCAACAAGTTGTGCACGCTAATCAAGGACAGAAATCTCAACAGCCTATAACTTCATCCGACGGTTAGTATGATCCTCAAAAAAAGCAATTCTGCGAATTTTTAAATCTGGGGGCTGACGAAAGTAATTCGAGGCCTGAAAATTCTTATTAAAGATTGCCTTAAAGAGATGGGTGTGGGACTAGACAAGGAGCCAGGTGTCCTGAGCACACCACCCCCAAGGAAAACCACCATGGAAAATGCCGAAAAGGGTCTATCAGATCGAGTTCCTCAAATAATTACCTCCAAACCTCGATGGGGAGAGACAGGTTGACGTTGACCCACTATCCAAACCCAGGTGGCTCATTTTTAGTGGGTAGGAGTTCTCACGATGGGGATTTTAAAAGGCAGGCTAATGGGCCATCAGTGCTGGAGGGGCCCAATTGGGTTACCCAACCATCAAACCGGTTGGGCATCCCTACTGAACCCTCGAAGTCAGTCAATCAACTCAGCCCAAAGCCAAGCCCCAATCCACTAAGTATTAACTCAAGAAAGGAAAACGCAGACGCAGGAATTGAAGAATCCTTACAGGAGACATCCAAAGCAGGAAGTTTGAAGGAAGGGTCGACAAGGAAAGAGTCATCTCAAGAGCTAAGAACAAGTCATATTGCAGAAACGCCAACATCAAGAATGGATCCAAGAAATCAGCAGGAAAACGTCAGCAAAGAGGAGTGTACAGCCTTAGAAGATAAACAAGAAGAAACTTCGAATGTAGATGTAGGGGGGGACAGTAGGAGATCAGTCTGAGGAGAAAGAGAGATCGACACAAAGAGAGAGCAGCTCGGGAAGGAGGGAAGGAAGTAATAGGGGGTTTTTATCAGTTTCATGATGAATTTGAATTTTCTTTTGTGGAATGTAAGGGGTTTTAGGATCGGGAAGAAGGAGAGTGGTGGTGAGTGAGGTGTTGAAAAGGTGGAAGGCAGGGGTGGTGCTCATCCATGAATCAAAAATTGAAAATTTGGATGCTAGGTTAATTATAAGTGTTTGGGGGGAAGGGCAGGTGAAATGGGTAGGGAAGCCAGCAGTAGGAAGTGCAGGGGGAATCCTAACTATGTGGGATCCTCTTCAGTTCAAGAAGATTTTCCAAAAAGTGAGCGATTTTCAGTAACAATGGTCTTTGAGTTACAAGGGGGTTTATGCTGCCAAGTTACAAATGTTTATGGTTCGAATTCGGATAAGGAAAGGCAAGCCTTCTGGGAGGAGCTTGCAGAGATTATAGGTGACTCATCTCGGTACCCTGGCTGATTGTGGTGATTTCAATGTTACCAGATTTACTGAAGAAAAGAAAGGTGGCCAACGAAGAACAAGAGCAATGCAGGACTTTTCAGAATTTATAAACAAGTTTGAGTTAGTTGATTTGCCTCTCTCAGGTGCGACATTTACCTAGTCAAATAATCAGGTTAATCCAGTGCTGGTGAAGCTGGATAGATTTTTAATTTCGGCTAACTGGGAGGAGAGCTTTCCTGGCACAAAGCAAGAAGCCTTACCGCGCCCCCTCTCAGATCATTTCCCTATCCAACTAACTACAAACAGACCAGATTCAAAAGCATACTCCTTTCAGGCTTGACAACAGCTGGCTTGAGGAGGAGGAGCTGAGGAATGTAATTGCAGAAAAATGGGATGATGTTCAGGTGGAGGGAACGGGTTCATTTGTGCTGGCAAAGAAATTGGGGGCAATTAAGGTCGTCATAAAAAATGGAGATCAGAAAAATCCCTTTAAACTGAGCAAAAGAAGATGAAGTGTCTAGAGCTGATAAAGGAAATGGATAAAAGAGAAGAACAAAGAATACTTTCGGAAGAGGAGAGAAGGAAAAGAGATGAAGCAAAGGTTACTTTTGGCAGGCTAGCCTATAAAGATGAGATAAGCAGGTGTCAGAAAGCTAAAGTGAAATGGCTTAAGCGGGAGATAGAAACTCAAAATTTTTTCATAGAATGGCAAATGCACGCCATAGAGTCAACAGCATAACCAGACTGGAGTTTGGACGCCAGAGTGGGGAGCAGCCAGGTGAAATCCAAAGCATTGCCACTAATTTTTACAAATCCTTGTTTTTGGAACCTTGGAAGCTTCGGCCACTACCCGAAGGGATTCAATTCAAAACCTTAAATGAAGCCCAAAAAGAGGAGTTGGAGAATCCTTTTTCAGAGGATGAAATACTGGAAGCTATCAAAAAAATGGACATAGATAAATCTCCAGGGCCTAATGGACTGACAAACTTGTTTTACAAGAAATGCTGGATTGTTATCAGAAAAGATGTCCTAAAGGCTTTTCAGGAATTTCACAATTCAGCATCGCTGGTGAGAAGCCTGAATGCCACCTTTATCACTTTAATCCTTAAAGTGGAAGGGGCAGTGAATCTTAAAGATTTCAGGCCTATAACCTTGCTGAATAGTTTCTACAAGCTTCTTGCAAAGGTGCTGGCCGAAAGATTGAAGATCTTAGAAAGTGTAATATCAGAAAATCAATGTGCTTTTGTTGGGGGAAGACAGATTCTTGGCAGTGTTTTAATTGCTAATGAAGTTATTGATTCTAGAAGGGAAGGAAAGCCAGGTGTTTTGTGCAAGGTGGATCTGAAGGGATGAGAGATCCATCATATGGTTGGCCGAACCCTGCAGGTACGTTGGAAGAAATTTCAAAAATTTCTCTCTCTCCCATGTGGGAATCACATTCCCTATTTTAGAAAACTGCATTTTCAATGACCAATCTTGAACCCAAACCGAACCAGATCTGAAACCAAGAGGTAGAAAAGGGATATACCTGATACGGAGTAGTAGTAACCCCCAACGAAGGTGTTCACGCCCAAGGAGAATACCAAAGACTGCTCCCACTGAAGAAAGACACGGCGTAGGGTGGAGCAGAATCAGCAGGATGGTTCTTCAGCAAGAACCGAATTCTTCAACAAGAACTCGATGGAGGGCAGGTGAGCACGACTTCTGATTATCTTTTCTCCCAAAAGATAATATCAAGAACTCTTCTTGATCACTCCTACAGGTGGAGATCGAACTGGTAATAGCGGCAATAGCAGGAGAAGGCAAGAACAGAAGATGGCGTCAGTCCAACTGTATGTTGTCTTCTCTCTTGAATCAGTCAGACTAAAGGATGATTGTATTTGGATCTTATCTGCAGATAAAGAGAGCTTCTCCTAATCCCATTAGGAGTTTCCTAATCCAAATCTTGTATTTGGATCTAAACTCTCCTAATCCCATTAGGAGTTTCTTAATCCAAATCTTGTATTTGGATCT